CCCCTCATTTTATCCATTTCTTCGGCTGATGTCCATCAGGCAAAGCTCCATAAGGATCAAGCCGACACGCGAGGGTCACCCTACAGCCAGCACATCATCCAGGCCACTGGTGAGCATTTACCAAGAACTTGCAGTGTGCCGGGCACTGCCTCCGCAATGGCTGGAGAAATTGGGGCCCGATTCCTGGGGCCAACCCTGGAGGAAGGTACGTGAGTCTCCAATTTATAAATGAGGAAATGGATGCTTCAGGAGGTTAAGCTACTCGCTCCGGTACACAAGGCTGGTGGGAATGAAGCAGATGGAAACCAAGATTCCCCAAACCTCCTGCACCTGCTGACAGGCAGACCTGGGACCCAGTGGGGCTGAAGATTTGGGGATTCTGCCCCAGGCTAAACACAAATGGCTTGGCTGAGGGAGGGTCTGGTGTATCATGACGCCCAGTCCCCAGGACTTCTACTCCCCGGTCTCTCCAGAGAGAAGTCAGCTTAAAGGGCCAGCCCTGGCCAAGGACCCCATCTGCCCAGCAACTAGAAAGTCCTGGCAAACCTTGTTCACCATGGGGCAGGTGGGAGAGCTGCTGCTCCTTATCCACAGATAAGGAAACCAGGGCCCGAAGGAGATGCACAGCTACAATGGGAGCCAGTTCTTGACCAGCCAGATGGGGCACCCAGGCCACTCCCCTGGGCACAAAGATCCGGGCCCTACTCTTTCTGCTGGTACAGCTCCAGGGCAGGGGCCCGGCTGAAGGCTCAGCCAATGCCCACGCCCAGGAGCTCTTTCCGTGATGAACCCTCCCCCTCCCCATACTCCACAATGAGCCAGCGTGCCCTGGGCCTCTCTCCTTCCTCCAAACCCCTCCCGTCCAGAACTCCGCCTGGTCCCAGCCCCCTGCCAGCTGCTGGAGAACTTTCCCACGGTGTGGTTAGCATGTGCCTGAGAAAGTTAGTTCCCAAGGCTGGGACCTGCCCTCAGCGACCTGGGGCCTCCTCTTTCCCCACTGGTCATTGGCCCACCGAGGATATCAGTGTCTGCTCCCCAGAGGCCCATGGGTAGTGAAGATATAGAACATTTCCACCATCCCGGAATGTTCTATTGGATAGCACCGAGGCTAAACAGATCAGTCATCCTCAGGCATCAGCCAATGGGGTGGCTTTGCTCAGAAGCCTGCAGTGGTTCCCAGTGCCCAGCACTGAGGCTCATGGCTGTTGTGACCCCTGCCTCTTGAGATCTGCCCCTACCTTCCCTCATTCATGTTAACATGGTGGTCACCACTTATCACGTGCTTAAATAACGTGCCAGCTGTCAGCTGGGGGTTTTACACATACTTGACCCTCCCAGCCATCATGGGGGTAGGACTTATTATCCCCGCTTTACCCAGGAAGAAACTGGAGCTCAGAGGGCAAAGCCACCTGCAGAACATTCCTCTGCCCACCTGTACACATCCACTGCTCTGTAGGGCCTGAGAGCCACACAGCCTCCACTTACAGTGGGGGGGTGGGGGTGGAGATGTTGGCCTCATCCCCAGGCCACTGAAGGCTCTGAGTGGGGCAACTCCCTAAGCCTGTGCCTGAGGGTGGCCCATGTCAGCTTCCAGAGCCATCTAAGAGCACACTCTGCGCTGTCCAACACACCCGCCATTAGCCCCATGTGGCTGCCGAGCACTTGAAATTGACTGGGAGACTGAGGAGCTAATTTACAACGTAACTTAATTTGAATTTTAGTTTAATAGCCGCATGTGCTAACAGCTACTGCATTGGAGCCCACAGGTTTGGACTAGACTGGGGAGAACAGGGCAGGGAGATGGGATGACAGCACCAGCCCTGTGGGAATGGGGGGGCTGGCCACGGGAAGGGGCAGTGTGATCGGAGAAGAGGATGCTCATCGGGACAGCTACAGTGCAGGAGGCGAGGACGCAGCCTGTGGCCTCTGGCCTGGGACACAGGACCAGGGTGGGGAGGGGTAGCGAGCTGCCGTGACAAAGTGACAGAGGGAGTGAGCAGCAGGAGGGTCACGGCCTCACGGGCAAGAGGTGGGCTGGAGGTAGGACCTGGGGAAAGTCTGGGAAGGAGGAAAGGGAGGAAGAGAGCCACAGTGCCTGGGGGTGGAGGGATGGGAGGGAGGGGGCTGGGCCTCATTCTGCCGAGGCGGCTGGAGGCACTGCGACGGAGCTGTGGTGTTCAGGTCACAAGGCTGTGGTGAAGATTTCACTTTATTTTTTTAAGCTTATTTATTTTGAGAGAGAGAGACAGAGACAGAGAGAGCCTGCATATGTGAGTGGGGGAGGGGCAGAGAGCGAGAATCCCGAGCAAGCTCCATGCTGTCCGTGCAGAGCCTGACGTGGGGCTCGAACACACGAACTGATCATGACCTGGGCCAAAATCAAGAGTGGGACGCTTAAATGACTGCACCACCCAGGCGCCCCAGGATTTTAAATACAAGTGCCTGCAGCACTGCCTGTAAGAGAGACCACCAGGTAGGTGCTTGTAAAACAACATCTGGTGAGGGGCATGTGTTGAATGTCACAGGAGGGAGACTGAGGCATCTGTCTCTGGGAAGCAGACTCTTGGTGGGTGGCTTTGGGGAGGAGAAGATGGGAATAGACACAGACATACACAAACATCGCACATAAAGGGCTATGTGGGCACTGAGAACAGGTGTTCCCAAATCAGGTTCCATGGAACCT